TGATTCTCACAAGGAGTATTCATTAATTTCCATCCAGCTCAAACCACTTCTCTTGTACGTTTTCGTTGAGCTATTAACCTTTAATCGAACTATTTCTGCGATGTCGACATCTCTGTTTTTTTTTTTGGCGGGGGGCAAGAAGTCAACCAAAAACACAACGAAAAATAAAAATTGCAACAATTACAGAAAATAATGGAAAACCGAACAAAGATTTCCAAGCCAAAGAAAACCGCAAAAGCGTAGACTCCCAAGAAAACGGCTCGCGTGATTTGATTTCTGTGAATTTCTGGGAGGGGAGCGGAGCTTTATTTACACAGAAATACACGAGTACGGCGGGGAGGGGGGGACTTATGATACTTAAGAGCCAACACACAGCATATGGTATATGGTGGTTGTATTTACAGTCGCATTTTGGGGGGGATTGATCTTACCAATTAGCAGACCTCACCATCAGCGTCAGCATCAGATCAGACACTTGTGTGTGTGGGAGGGGGAGGGGGAGACGATTAGTCACAGACCATTTGGCAATAGGTCGGTGGTAGGTGTCGATTTTAGCCAAACTTTTTGTTTCTCTCTTTGCATTCTGTAAAATGCCAAATAACACAAAAAAAAAAAAAAAAAAAAATACGAGATACAACAAAATAGAGGAGAAGCATTTTCGCGTTGCCAGGCTAGTGGGGCTCATGTGATATGTGTAGGTACGAGTACACACATACCTTATATGTTTGCATATGGTTGGTCTATATAATGGCCAAAAAACAGACAACACATGTGGCCAAGAGACAGACGTCTGACTCTGACTCTGACATTGCCCTGTTCTCTGACACCACACCACACCACCCCAACCACCGTCAGTTGTCGCTAGGTAAAAACAGTTCAAATCAAGAACAAATACGAGCAATTTCCCAACTAAATCAGGCAATGAGCTCGTGTTCAGGTCCAACTTGAGACTCGGGAGCAGCGGCAAAGAATATATCAGAGAACTAGTCTGCAGGCGGCAGACATTCCATACGTGGCTGTGGTGGTGTTGTGGCAGCTCTCTTGGGCGGACACCTACGGGAATGGTGTTCCAAAGAAAATTGGTGGCAGAGGGTGTAGATCTATGGTTTGTCCATCAAAGAAATTTACAAATGTACTGTACATTTATTTACAATGCATATCATTTGCATAGCATATATTTGTAAGCTAACAGGAAGATTGTATACACTTTTGATGGTACTTTTATGTTATATTTACAGGAGAATTTTTCCATATTATCTAGGGTTTACTTCGGTGGCTTAGTGCCAAATATGTGATATATCCAGTAAAATCAAGAACTTTCCTGCAATGGAACTTCTGCAATCAAAAAATCATCTTTATCCTTGCCTCCAAAAAGTATCAGCAAAATTGCATCATCAACTAACCGTGTGTGGCCTTCATTCCCCAGTGCCTACCCATTCTGGCATCATCAAAAGCATCATTCTGGACCATTAAAAATAAAATACACACATTGAAAGGCAAGGCAACGTGCGCCAATTGTCAGAAATGCAAAAGAATTGTGCAAATTTCAACAGAAAATTAAAGGAAATCAAAAACTGAAATAAAACTGGGAAAAGCCATAAGGAATCTGAAGCTGGAACGAGCTGGAACTTTCTAGCCTTTTGTAGGCGGTGCCAAAAAATACTGAATGAATACTCGAATACTATGAATACTTTTCTATGAATCAATGTTTAGGAAACGCTTGGAGATCGTTCTACACACGGACAATTGCATACAGCAATTTATTGTATTTATTTGCATTGACAAACAAGCGGCAATAGAAAATCTCTCTCTACCCCATTGCTGTCAATAACGGTCACGTTTCCCGCCTTTGGGTGCCACAAACGAAAAATGCATTGTAATGGCCGGGGTGCTATCTAAGTGTTGTATCAACAATGGGGGGCAACAATTGGCCACAGAACACAGACGGAGCGCGCGCAGTCTACTACGATCTATGGAGATTGCAACGGCAACAAATTAAAGCCAAGATAATCAAGATTGAGAAAACAATCGACAGAGAAAGAAGAAATAAAAACAGACACAGAAAAAAGGAGAAAAACAAAAACAAAAAAAACAGTAAACACCAACAGTGAGACTTTTTTTGTCATGCAAAAAAACTGAATACAACGGATGACAAATCAAACACACAGAAGGAGCAACAATTGAGGGGAAGTTTTACTTCGTAGCTGCAGGAAAAGGGTGCACGCTGAGGTGTTAATGGAATGCGCAATTCCAGAACGAGCTAAAGCACAAACTGGAATACAGTGCAGCCTCGAAACTGTATGGCAATGTAAGCAGATTTTTAAATTAAATAAAAATAAATAGCTAGCAGCTTCCGAATATTCCATAGGTATAGCAGAAGTTAAATTAAAAGTATTTTAGGTTTGAAAATCGATGAATAACTTTTTTAGTTCCAATTGTTATTGTTATTGTTCTACTTTTATACTTGTACGATTAAGTGCTGTACGATTTTAGATAAAGTTCGTCAGTTCAAAGCTCACAGTTTTCGCCTTAAATTTTCTGTACTGTACCGCACTGTACTAAAAGCAAAAACATTACAAAGTAAAGAGGGGGCAAACACTTATAATTCGTCATGAAATATCGACAACAATTTGCTTGCATTTAAGGGTCAGCCAGTGGAGAGTTGCCCTCGCGGCCTCTCGGCTGGGCGTCAGGGGGATCATCGAACGATGAACCAATCAACATTGAACCCCACTTCTGTTCTGAGATTGCACTCTGCTCTCCAGATGCAAATTGCCAAAGCAAAGAAAAGCGAAGGCAACAATTTAATTGAGCCATAAATGACGGAAATCGCACACCAGAGGCACAAAATTAAAATGCAATTCACAAGCCGCTGACAACTCTACAGGCAAAAGTCATTAAAATACCGCCACGCCACGACAAATGTGGTGGCAAATGCTTGTCAAATCAGCATAGTTTATGCTTTAAAGTTATTCTAATTGTAAATACCAACGAGTGCTCCTCCTACCCCCCCTGTGTGCTTAAGGAAATTCTTGAAACTTCAATCGTGTGTACGAAAACTCGTACTGATTCATTGACGTGCTAAGCGGTGTTTTATTTATTTAATTTCCTTATAAATCAATTGCTAATTTCTTGATTTGGTGGCATTACTCATACGCACTGCGGACAACAACACTGCAGCAGCAGCAGAAGTCGCTAGCACGTCACTCGAAACGTAGGGGCTTACTTTCACTCATGCGCGGGGTGTACTTTCACTCAAAGCCAGTAAACGCCGTGCTGACATCACTCATACGCAATGGATAATGTCACAGCAGCACAGTTGGCTGCTACACGAGCTTTTGACCAATAGTTCCGTTTATTGGCGCTTTCTAGTGGCGCCAATTTTTATACTCTGGCGCCCTCAGCCGGAGAGCAGCAAAAGTTCTTGGGGAAAGATGTAAAAACTTTCGACTTGTGGTATGGAAATTAAATGCTAAAGAATTAAGACATTAAAAATTAAAAAAAAAAGTTTACATTCTGGAAATTGCCTGGAGCTTCTTAGAAGCTATCAACAAACCTCATTGTTAAGTAAATTAATTCTCTACAAGTGGACAAACTACATCAAATAATTTATTGATGTTATTTATGTTTTTGGACAAATTCCACACTCAAACAAATGACAAACACAAAGAGCAGCTGCCACATTGCACATAAATATGATAAATATAAATGTGATTCATCAACATAAATTCCAGCACTTGAAATGGGACATTTTTATGACATGCATCTCTCTATCTCTGTCTTTGTCTATCTTTTATGATGTTTGCATTTATGCAAATCCCATGCTTATAACCATGTTTCGAGTCCTTCACACACACTCTCGCCCGTACTCGTAGAAGTCATTCAACTTTCAGCACAGCCCCGTACGTGGTCCTATTTTATACTACGTGCCCATAAAGCCAAAAACTGACCTCTTCAAATGACCGAATAAGCTGCCACTCCTCGCCACACTGCCAGGCCAAGCTGCGGGGCTCAAAACATCGCTCAGGTTTTCCACCTGTGGCCCCAACGAAAGACCCCCAGATAATGGCCATAAAAGAGCAACAAAAGATGCTCACAAGAGAGCAAAATAAATGCCAGACATAAAGTTAAATACAATCTTAAATGTTGAGCAAATACGCGTATTATTCTGCTGCTGTTTTCAATTTTAAAATTTTTGGATCGCCTTGTAAAATGCTAAATGGCCAATTATTTTGCACCTTCGAATGCGCCAACAGCCAACACCCAAGGACCCGATTTGAGTGGCCATTGAACTGGCATTGCGTTGGGTTTTGGCTGCCACACAACTTGCTGCAGACTCCCCGTGGTTGCCGCCTCTCTGGTGGCTAGATCAAAGGCCCCGCCTCAAGGTTGAATTGCGTCAAACTCTGTCAAACAACTAATTAATATGCATATTACGGGCATTGCAAAATATTAATTTACGTAGGCTGCTTTTTAATGGGCCCCCCGCCATTAACATAAATAAACAAAAAATTGCGTGGCACGAAAAGGGACACAATACATGATGCTTCGAAAAACGTATTTAAAGCTTAAATTGAGAGTGACAAAAATTGGTTGGTGTTTGCTCTTTTTGTACACTTTTGCTGCGGCTCACAGTCACACTTTTCTTCGGGCTAACTTTCACACTTTTGTGGCCCTACTTTCTGTGTTTAAGTTGCCATTAAAAGTTGGCAACTTTTTTAATGAGAAGTGCTAACAGCTTAAGCAAACAACAAAGTAGCCGAATGGTGGCTGGTATTTGGGATTGAAGTAATTAAATACAGATACAAAGTCCTTAAGGAGTTGACGGTTTGTTTGAGGTTTGCTCAAAAATTTGTGTGTGCGATTAACTGGGATCTCACCTGTATAAAATCTCAATAAATACTGTTTAACTGGGAAAATATAATCTCACGTTTTTAGTAAGTAAAAATCACATTTAATGAAATTTTATTGCATTGCTAAACTTACCAAGGCTAATTTATAGAGCAATCTTAGAAGAAATTCTGCAAGAAGAACGAGATAAAGGGATAAGAAATAATACTTTTCGAAAGTTTAAAGAAAAGATAAGAGCGCCTTATAAACAAATTGAAGAAAGCTAGAATTGTTGAATTTATGAAATATTCAACCTAATAAGCAGCCAACAAAATGTTGCAGGCTATAATGGTACATATTAAAAATACAGAAAATTCAGCCAGAGATTAAAGCTTTGATCTTATATTTATGCATCAAATCTGAGGGCAAATACCCCACATTTGTGTCTTGCCCTCTACAGGGTACACACATAGCAATTTAAAGTGCACTTTCGCACTTTCACATTTGCTCGCCCTTCTCGCTTTACCATCTGCTCCACACGCCGCCTCTTATTCGTTTAGCTCTGTAGCTGCAAAAACAATGGCACTTTAAGCTGCTTTTTGTTTCGTTATTTTTTTGGGTGAAAAAATAAACTTTTTTTTGCAACTTATCAACACTCTGAGAGGCACACACCCACACTCAGGAATGTAGAGAGGCTGGTCAGATGGCAGCAACAGCTGCAGCAGCGTTGCCTGTTCCAGCAGAAAATTCAATAAAGCCGTTGACCAAACACGCGCACACACAAAAAATACAAAGACAGAGAGACAGGAGGGAGAAATGGGTATTCCCATTTGCCCCAGAGGCACAGTAGGCGTGACAGCAAACCACAGAGAGAGAGAGAGAGAAAAGGGAGAGTGATGGGCAGAGATAGATATAACCAGCACACACATGAAGGAATAATTTCAATTAGGCCAAGTTTCTGCCAGCCTTTTTTGGCTAATTAAGCAACTGAAAATCTTTGCCATCAGCCACATAAAACTTCATTAGAACTTGGCCGCTGAGCTTTGTGGCAAGTGATAATTGCAACGCGTTGATGCTGGATGCTGGATGCCGTGCCTGTTTGATTTCGATTACCAAAGTCGCTGACAATTAAATTATGCTTAGTTCTGTCGGTACGTGCGTGTCCTGCATAGGCTATGGGCAAAATTTCTACGAAAGTCAGCCCCTTTGGGAGTCTGAGTGTGTGTGATTAAGTGGGTCTCGAACTCGTACTAGTTGCTGGAACTAAGAGATGGCTTAATTGGAACCTTGTGTTGTGTGCCACTTAATTGGAGAACAGAGAAACGAATTTTATTGATTTCTGGGGAATTTTAGTGATTAATTAAGGAACCATCGAAGAAGGGAACTCGTGCATTCCACTGAAAATTAAACAGACATTCAACAGAATTGATTCTGTTTAGTAAGTAATATGTAACATAAAATAAATCAAATATCAGCTGAGTGAATGTCCGCACTCTGAAGCTCCACAGGGATTTGGTCTTTTAGACTTAAAAAGTTGCAGAGGAAATATAAAAGCTTACAGGAATTGCCTCCACAATATCTTATGCTTATAATAATAAAATAATATAATAATAATAATAAAAATATAATAATAATACCAATAAAAAAATTATTATTATTTTTAACGCTTACTTTTTTTAATTTCTTAAAAAAAAAAGCCCTATGAGACCAAAGAAAGTATAATTCTCCACTCGTATCCACAAAATGTGTATTGTTAAAATTTAACATTTAACACTTAATTTTCTGAAACATAAACCGCTTAAAATCCATTGGAAAACTCTGTTAACAAATGATTTCCATTGTATTCGCAGAAGAATAAATTCTCCTCTTGCGAAATATGAAATGCGAAAATGTTGCTTTATCATGCCAGAACCAATATCAAGCATCTCTCATTTCTGCTCGACTACCTCACACGCACGTACACACACACACACAGATACAAATAGCCACCAGCACACACACACACACACACACACTCGCGGGCACATCCTGGGTATCGTTCATCCGCACTCGAACGACCTTCCATGTCTGCCTTTCTATGAGTTTTTCATATGAGCAACTCTCTCTCTCTCTGTTACTCTTTCTCCCTCTCCTTCCATATGGCCATAAAAGTTAATGCAAAGGGGAGCGGAGCTCCTTCCTCAGCCGCACATTCACGCTTAATACGCTATTAACTGAACTTTATTTGGACCCTGCTGTTGGCCAGGGTACAGCCCCCAATGCGGTTATTTGTTATGCTGCAAATTAGCCTGGTCAATTAGCGTTGGAGTTGATTCAATTTCAGGCTGGTCTCTTGTCCCCCCCGGGCAGGGGGATCTTTGCTTTTATGGTTTGCACTTTTAATTCAATTTTCAATGTATAGTAAATAAATAAATTTATATTTCGTAAATTCGCTGAGCTAAGGCCACGTTGCCGCCAGCTAAAAGCCACTAAATGGATTTTTCCCAGCTGGTAATTGAACTGCAGATTCAAAGGGTTTTTGTGTGTGTGTAATTGTGTTATGGGTTTTCGAATGGAAAACATTTTAATTAATCCTCAAAGGCGCAAAAATCAAGGCAGAATAATTGTGTTAATCTTTGCGGTAGCTTTTAGGTTGGAAATAAAAAAGACACTGAGCAAAGCGATACGATTGGGATTTGATGGAGGTTTAGTTTCGCTTGGGAAAATTGTTTCTTCTTGCTGAATAAATAGATAAAGCGATCGCGATAATATTTCTTTCTATGAAAAGAAGTTCCTTAATTTTAAGAAACCATTTTTAATTTTAAATTTCTCTCCATAAATGAGGATACATTTTATTGAAAAGTTGACTCCTCAGCAAATATTAAATGTTTCTGCTCTGTTGGGTTTCATTTTTTCCTATATTAAAAAACTTTTCCCAACTTTTCTTTGCTTGTTAACTTTTAATTTCAATCTCAATCTGTTTTGTCTCTGCCATACTCTTTCTCTGCTTCAACGACTCCTCCCCTTTCGATATCAAAGCCAGTTAAGTGTATCAATAATTCATCTCAAGAAGCAGATATAAAAGCGAACGCATAAATTCTCATTAAAAGTTACTACAACAATATATCCTCTTTTTCCTTTTTTATTTTATTTTGATACTCTGCCATATTTTTGGTGTTTTTTTGGCTGCCTGACAACAGCGGACATGGCAAAACTTTTATCACCCAAGCGACTGGGCAGAATGTTGGCTGTAACCCAGGACAACAGGCAGCGACAAATGACAGGCGGGACACTCGATAGCCCAGCCCATCAGAAGTGGCAGTGGAACATAAGTCACAGCAGCAGAAGAGTACAGAAGAGAGGGAGAGAGAGGGAGAGCCCTGCGGACAGGAAGGATCTGCAAAGCATTGACCCACGAAAAATTTACATAATTCTGTGATTATCAAATCGATATGAATATTACGGTATGTGTAGTAGCCATGGCTAAAACCGAACAACAAGTATATCGAGAACAATAACTGCAATAAAAGGAGCAAAGGAGGAAACTTTGCCAAAGTTCGTTGACCGTTAAATTGAGAAATCAAATCAAATGACTCATCGGAAAATATTTACCCTAAGCAGCAGAGAGAAAAGTTAAGAGCCCTAAGGAGCGGAGCGAAAACGTAAGTGCCCTAAGGAGCGAAGAGAAAACTTAAGTACCTTGACCTTATTGTGACAGATAGGTGGAAGGATGTCAAAGCTGGGCAAGTAAAACTATTCACTGAAGACGTAAAATTCACATAAATCCGATGAAGATTTTGTAATTATTTCTGTGGGAGTTGAATGTGGCTAAAGTACTTAATTCGATCATGGGATGGCCCAATTTCCACGTTTTATATTGGTAAACAGATATTCTATGGGTCATGGTTTTGTTGTTCTGTGATGGTCGCAAAAGTTATCATGCAAATAGCGAGAACTCATTTAAAATTTGGTGCTGTAACTACATACATACATACATCATTATCATGTGTGAATACAGATGCAACCCGCTGCCCGTTGCTTATTTATTTAGGTCAGTTTTAGGCACCTCCCTACCACATACATATATGTATTTATTTGGCTTACATGTTTATCAAATCTTAGCGCCCGTTGGCCTGCTATTTATTTAGGCCCAATCTTACGATTTTATGGTTATTCGATTTAGTACGAGGATGAAGAATTAAATTTAAATACAATAAAAAAGAAATATATGAATAAATGAGGCTACAGGTGGACTGTTAAGTAAGAAGTAAATACCCGAATAGGTTCAGAGATAAAGCCTCAGCGTCGTACAAATATGTCTACCATTTCTGAAATTCCTATCCAAAGTAACGCTCTATATTTGCTGATAAAATTAAGTTTTGAACACCACAAATTTTACTCCAACAACTACTCAATATTGATTGGTTGAATATTTCCATAGCCTCACAAATAGCTGGACCAACGAACCATTGAACAACAAAAGAAAACCCCAAGTACAAATATTTCCATCTCAATAAATACAATTCGATTAAGTCATCAACTAAAACGAAATGGAATTTCGAAGCAGAGAAATTCCATTTAATTTCATAAACCAATACGAATACAATTCATTGGCCGGACATGCAAATGACAGGACTGGCATTCAATAATTCAAATGAAAAGCCTTGACCTGCTGCCCCGCTGCCCTGCTACCCGCTCGGTTGAACCGCAAAGTGCTTGAATTAATTGATCAGACGACTGACTACTGGCAAGTCGCCTGCTAGGGTAGCTCTATAAACAAATTGCCAAACAGGAAGATAAATTCCATTCCCCATCCCATGGTTGAGGGTCAGAAAAAGTTATGTTCCCCTGTTGCATTCGATTTATTCGATTGTTCTCTCCCTTACTCATGCCCAAGCGAAACTTCCACTCAATTTACCATCGCCGCTAAGTTGCTGGCCCAACTTGTTCTATTGCGGTTTTAAGTGGGGTCCCCTGGAAAATTGGCCAGCACTTGAGGGCAAGAAAATGGTCGAGAGTGGCCAACGAAGGCTACAACTTTTTTATGCTCAAATTGAATTGGCACGAAAGATGTTGGACAGAGTAAAGCAAATCGATTGGCCATTGAAAATGTTAAGTAAAGAAATTGGCAAGAGGGAAGTGCTACAGTGGAGTGCCGTTCCCTGCCAAAGAGATACTCGAATGGAATCCCTTGGGCATGTACTTGTAAGTG